ATATTTTTTTTTTAAGAAAACCATAAGAGAAGCAAAATTATAACTATCATTAAACTAATAATGTTAATTTTTAAGGATTATGATTATAATTGTTCGGTGTCATATATAAGCATGGTGGAGAATTTTTTTTTATTTTTATTTTTTATATAGTCTGTGACACTCAGGTTACAAGTTAACTTCTTTGACTTGATTTCACATGCATTTTCTTTTTTTTTTTGAAATTCAAAATTTTAGCTCATATCATTAAGAATATCATAAATGATACAATTTGGGATGTGAAAAAAATCACAGTGATTTGCATTTTCTATTGCTGCTTTAGCTAGCTTATGAGCAACAATATTGGCAAATCTAGGGGAGAAACTCACATGAGAGTTTGGGGGGTTAACCATGATAGGCTTACATTGGTCAAGAAGGCAACCGAATTCAGTTATGTCAACAGAGTGATGATTGGAGAAATAGGAAGGGATGCGATTACAATCGGTTTCGAAAATAATGTCCTCCAGGTTCTGGTTATGGGTCCAGTTGATAGCATGAAGAAGAGCAAAGGCTTTACTAACGTGGGGTTCCAAACAGCCTTTGATAGTGGTTGAATGAGCTCTAACAAAGGCACCTTGATGGTCTCTAATGCAGATGCCTATTCCAGTAAGTCCTTCCACTAGAAAAGAGTGAGTGGCAATGTTGCACTTAAATGACCCTTGGGGGGGAGGAGACCACCGCTGTCTGGTTTGGGTTTTAGTGTGCTGGACCAAGTCGATTCTATTAGCAGTGGCCCAATCATGAAGCATGGAGGAAGCGCGAAGATTGATCTCGTCTGGGTTTCAAGGAGTGTTACTCCAATGCAAAGCGTTCCGGCTGTGCCACATGCTCCAGAGAATCATGGAAAATTCTGCAGCAGCTTGAAGGGTCCAATGCTGTAAAATATGAGATATAAGGTTAAAGACACCATCAGAGGAGTTGATCAAATTCAAGATACAAGAGTGAAGATTACTTTCCTGCCAGCACAATTTGGCTGATGGACAACTAAAGAAAGTGTGTCAGGTGTTTTCGATATCAATATTACATCGGAAACATGTACTTGGGCAACAAATGCCTTTCTTTTGAAGGTTTGGCCGCGTGGGAAGGATGTCTCGCATCAATCTCCATATGAAATGCTTAATTTTTTGGGGAATGCGTAAATTCCAAATGTTTTTCCATGGACCAGGAACATTGAGATTACCCATGGAAAGGCAATGTTGGAGATAACCTTTATAAGCAGAACGAACAGTGTAAGAACCCGAGGGATTCCATTTCCAAATACCTTTATCTTCACAGCGTGGGTTGAGAATAGGAATGTTGAGTATCTGGTTGCTGGTGTCCTCATCTAACAGGGAATTAATCAAAACATCGTTCCAACCATTCTTATCAATGCTCATCAGATCAGAAACTTTGAAAGCTTGGCTATTTGAGGGGTCGTGAGGGTGAATACTATGGTAACTGTCATTGTATTTGACCCAAGGCTCGCCCCAAACAGGAATGGTATTCCCATTCCCAAGCCTCCAACGGATACCATTCTTAAGTAGGTGTTGAGTGCTCCAAAGACTTTTCCATGTATAGCTGGGATTGTGGCCAAGTGAAGCATTGAGAAAGCTACCATCGGGATAGTATTTTGCTTGGTAGATTCTACTGATCAGAGAGTTTGGGTTGCTAAGAAGTCTCCAAGCTTGCTTACCAAGCATAGCAAGGTTAAAGGCAGATAAATTTTTGAAGCCAAGTCCACCCTCAAGTTTGGAGATGGCAAGCCTTTCCCAGCGCATCCACTTAATTCCCTTGTGCTTATTTGAATTTGCACCCCACCAGAAGGCATTTAGTAGTTTTTCAATCTCATCTATGGTGCAGCTTGGAATCATGAAGACACTCATAGCATATGAGGGGAGAGCTTGCAGAACAGCCTTGATGAGGGTCTCTTTTCCTGCTTTAGATAATGATTTGTGGCTCCAAGACTGTAGTTTTTTCCATATGCGTTCCTTAATAAACCTGAAAACTTCATTTTTATTTCGTCCAATCATAGATGGGAGTCCAAGGTACTTACCAGTGGTCACACATTTCTGGACATGCAGAGTATTAGATAACATAGTGTGAGTAGTGGGAGGTGCATGTCTATTCAGGAATACTTCAGATTTATCGTAGTTTATGGCTTGACCAGAGGCTACCTCAAAAGTTTTCAGTATGGTAGCAACCTCATTGGTCTCTTTCTCAGAAGCTTGGAAGAAAAGGAATACATCATCCGCGAACATGAGATGATGCAGTTTGGGGGCACCACGACAGATTTGAATGCCATGCATGTTCCCAAGAAGTTCAGCTTTATGAATGAGGCTTGATAATCCTTCCATACCTAGAATGAAGAGGTAGGGGGAGAGGGGGTCTCCTTGTCGGAGACCTCTACCAGGAACAATGGATCCAACTCGATTACCATTGAGTAAGACTTGAAAATGAACGGATGTGATACACATCATCATCCAACTTACCCATTTTTTGCAACATAAAAATGCCTTGTTAAATCTTTTATGAACTCAATTCTAAACTGAAAATATGACATTTATAAAACGATTTTTATTTCCTTTTCATAAACATATTCCAGTTAGAGAGACCAGTGAGGTTGAATCAATTTATCGGCTTGAGCTTAACTATCGATTTAAAAGGTAAACTCAGCATTGAAATTGGCTAAATATTCAGTTTCGTATCCAGTTCTAACCATTCAAACCTTTCACGCTTTGCTGGCCAATTCTGTATAATCAAAACCATACAGGCTTCACAATTTCTGGGTTCAACAAACACAACTAAAGAACATGATTTGTATCTGATCTCAAACATCCCACATGGGTTCCTCCATAGCTGAATCATCGTGTGGAAAATGGTGATGAAAATGATTCATAACTTCTGATCTCTGGTGGCTTAATGCTTCCAAATGTTGCTGTGGTTCATGCAAACTTGCTGCTCTTGAAGTTGAACCACCAATGCCAAGGAAATCATGAACCGTTGTCATGTCACTCCCTCCAAACCTCGATGGCTGCATTGTGCTACCTTCTGCCACATCTCTTCCATGGATCAAACTCGTACTATTACTAACCTCTTGTTCCACGTTCTTCATCAATCCTGGGGTGTGATCACTTCCCATTGGCATTTGGCTGAACATTCCTGCATCATTGATTGAAGACCCGGTAGTGTTGGTGTCAAAAACTTGCGAAATCTCTTGTCCTTTTTGAAACAAATGATTGATGAATGCTCCTCCACTACTCACCCCAGCCATGGTGGACAGATCAGGCTGTGGAGAGAAGTGGTCATATGAGGTGTTATGGTGCAGCATAGCACCAGAATATGGTGGTGGCCTAGTGGAAGAAACATGATCAGGAGCACTAACAAAGCCTTTTTGCATCATGGGGGAGTTAATGCTATTGCTTGCAGTGGCTCCCATTTGTGCTGCTTTTTGTAGTAAAGCTGTTGCTGACATCTGTGCTGAGCCAGCAATGAGGCCTCCGTTTTTGTTGTCTTGCAAGTAGTTGAAGCTTGATGAGGTGTTGGAGCCTAGTTGAAGGCTTGAAGAAGAGGGAGACATGGATTTTGGGCCACCAAAAAGTGCACCTGCATTGGTGGAGAACATGCCACCACCCATGCTCATGGACTTGAATGGTATTGGGACTAGTTCTTGGGGGAGTGATTTTAGTGGGTTCTTAGGGTCATAGTCCCCGAACTTTGATGATGTGTTGGGACTAGTGCTCAGAGGCATGGTAGACATAAGATCAGGTATTTGACTTTGCAGGCTTGGTGGCATGCCACTTGTTAATCCCTGGTTCACTCGGTTGTTTTCCTCAGTTAATGCATCACAGAAAGCTCTGTGTGTGATAAAACTATCTCTCCTGCACCATGTAAAGAACATGTAAGAAGACATTTTAAGAGCATCTTTTCATGAAGTTCTTAATTTTAAAAACCGATTCTTATTCAGGATCAGGATCACCATTGGAGAAGGCTGACATGACTTGCCACTATAAGAAAAGGTTCTTAACAAGTGTGTGGTTCTTATGAGTAAAATAATATTTTGTGACATAACATATTTGATCCATTTTAAGTTCATAGAGTAAGTTAAAGTTCCTATATCTAATGGTAGGATTTTCTAAAAAAGTGAGTTAAGAACCCTCACCTTAAGTATAGCATTATAGAGGCTCTAACAGTTTTTTAATTGCTTGGTTCTCTGATCTAGGAGATATAAATTTATAGAGTAATCTATACCATACACTACTATATTATTAGTCAATTATCTCGGTAATATGCACTAACACATAATAAAATTCTTTATCACGCATGTTACCAAAGTAGTGAAGCTTCAATTCTGATTGAGGAACCTAGCCTCTAACCTATAGCAATGTATGGTAGTTTTATCTGCCAAGACTTCACGTAAAGCCATTGAATTCAATGATGCTGTATGCATTGAAAAGTTGAGAATTGTACCTGGAAAATATGGTTCCACAATCACATTTGTATTCCCTAGTGCCACAAGTTTTCTGGTGGGCCTTCCAATCAGATTGGACTGCGTATCTTTTAGAGCACTTGTCACATTTCCATTTCTTCTCACCGTGTTTGCGGCTATAATGCTTTTTGATTCCGGTGAGGTCTCCTAATGCACGAGCTGGGTTATGGTGGACGCATGATGGCTCAGGGCACACATAAACCCGTTTCTTCACTTCAGTGCTTGTTCTTTGCCTCAGTTTCCATGGAAGATTGTGACCTCTGCGGTGCAGCTGAAGGTTTTGGTCCCTCTGAAATCCTTTGTTGCAGATCTCACACACGAATCTATTTGTTGCCATTAGCGTGGTTGGTGATAACGCAACAACTTCAGCATTAGGATCTATTTCATAAAATACATCCATTAGAAGAAGTTTGGCAAATAATAATAAATGTTTTTGCTAGCCATCAGAAAGAGTAGAGCATGCATGGAAATCAAATAAGGGAATTTAATGTCATTCATGATGCTTTTTAACTTGCATAGTTTGATAGACAAAAATAAAAGTAAAAATATTAAGGCCCTATTCAGATAAACATCTCCACAAACACTTAAGAAGAGCACCAAAAGCAAAATGAATCAAACTTTTTTCATAAAATAAAATCAACTTAGACACCTAAAATTTTGAAGAACTCGACTGAGTGAACTTCTGTAAAAGTTGAAATAAGGAAGAACATTAATTCATTTTTTACCAGTGTAGAAATTTATCCAATCATGACATAAGTTTAATAAGCCAACAGTTCTTTACAGTTACTGCTATGTGTTATCACTACTAAACACTTTCTACCAAACTAAATAAATATTTAAGCTAGCAAAGGACAACTTAGAATTTGACCAGAAGAGCAACTACACATCATTATCATTTGAAAACAAAATTCAGTTTCTCAAACACGAAATCCTGATTTGTTAGGCTGTGATTACTGGCACAAAAAAAAAAAATTGAAGTTGGGGTTGTTGAACATTTGCCTGGGGTTCCAGGAAGGTTTCTTTTCTTCTTGGTTTGTTGTTGATTAGTGGAGGCATTGCTATTGCTATTGCAAGCACTGGATGGTCCTGAACTTGAGTCATGAAGTTGGTTTTGTAGCTGTTGCTGCTGGTTTTCTTGATGAACTTCTTCCCCATTGTTTCCTGAGGAAAAGCTTCCTTCATCACCTGAAATATTTGACATTGGAACCGGAGACTGCAAAAGGTTAATAGAAGCTTCTTTGTGTCTTCTCTATCTTTCTGTTTTTTGTTATTGGTGATGGTCCTCACTAAAAGCTGGTGCTTGCTTTTTGGTGTAAGAAAACAAGAATCCACTATCCCCACCTAGAGGAGGACAAAAGCTGAGGGAGATTTTGGTTTGTGTTGAGGAATTAGAAAGCAATTGCTGCCATGATACCAATATTGGAAGCTGGTCTTCTTTGGCCTTATATAATTATATATAATGCTCATATCAAGACAAGTAAGTAAATGCCTTGAACTTCTTGCCATTATTGTAATGTCCTAAACAACAATTAATTTCTCTATTTTCTATTTTATTTTTTCTCCATATATACACATTTATTTGCAAATTTTAAATATTTGTGTTAGAAAAATGCTAAAAAAACACTTTTTTAACACCATAATATATTGTGGTTTAAAACTATGGTATCATTGATATTTCTGTGACATGTTAATAACTTTTTATGTAAATTATAAAAATATTGTAACTAAATTTCATCATATAGAAAGATCACATGATTTTAGATCATATATTAATATATCTCTAACATTTTTTAAAATATATTTTTTGTTATTAATTAAAATTTATTAAAAATTATAAGAGTATGTGAATCTTATTATATTTTATTTACCAAATCTTGCTTATAATTTTATTTTAATGAATAATAAAGAGTAAATTTATAGACTTATACTAGATTCAGTACTTATTTTACAAACAATTTCGGGATTACATTTTCGTGAGTTTATCCTCTTAATGTCTGTAACCGAAATAACCATAAGTAAGAACAATTTCTTTCAGGTTATTATCTAGGCTGATAAATTATTAATTAATTATATTATACTCTCAGCTCTCATTATAAATAATAAAAGAAAAAATTTTAATCTATTTAGAGAGATGTCTGATAAGCATTTATCTTGAATAAAATAAAATAAAAATCTTGGGTGTAATTTCATTAATGATGTGCACCATACTAGGTAGAGGTCAGACTTTGATTTCTTGCATTAGCATAATAGGCCTCTGTAATTTCTCCTTTTCCCTCTCTTAGGAAAAACATAAATACAGGTTCAAACTTTGCTTTGTGTTCTATCTGGAAATTTGTTTTCATTTCTTTTTTCATCTCCAAAATTACTACTTAAATTTGGCCACTAGCTTTGATCATCATGACATGAATTCCGTACGTCTTATTTGAACCATAATATGGAAGGTATCTTCATATAAAAAATGGTAAAGTAGCTAGCGATGACACAAAAGAGGGTTGCTACTGAGTTAACCTAGAATCAAGCTTAAGGGCAACGACATTAACTAAGACTCAAAGAGTATCCCTAGGCCTCCTGAATATTCCATTGTTTACGTACATATGATATGTGCATGGAAATAACACAAAAATTTATCAGTGATCTTTTCAAGATTAGTTAAATTTTAATTTCAGTAGAAAATTATTTCTTTCTAAATTTAAGTGCAACACATGTACCCCTAACACAATCCTACAAAACTAATTTGTAAGTTGTAAGGTGAGAATTGTTTTCCACTTATATATTAAGTAATTGTCTAATCTTGAAACTTGAGTTTTTCTTAATATATTACTTCATGTCTATGGTACATGTATCAATGGTAAGTGACTCATTTAGAATAGATCTAGATGGTTCTAATACCATCTTAGAATAGTGAATTAAGCCTAACTAAACCCTACAAAAATAACTTGTAAGGTGAAAGTTATTTTCTACTTATATACTATTTAATTGCCTAATTTCTAATAAATGTGAGACTTGAATTTTTTTCAATAGTTTCTCAAGTCATATATTCACAAGTAATTTATTTAAGGTAACATAAAGTATTTTTAACAATTGTTTGTAGCAGTCATAATCACCATGGAAAAATTCCATACTATCCTTTGTTTATGTTGAATTTTACAGCTCCCTCACGCTCAATGTAAAATGAAAAGAAAGGGACAAAAACTAGAATATCAAACATGAACTAAGCTTTAAATTTTCAGTCAATTATATTTTTAATCCTTCCCATTGCAAATACTCTTCTCCATGTATGAAACTAATAATATAAAACGAAGAAAAAAACAGCGTAGAAATCATCGACGTAAAGATCGATACAATTCACGAAGCTTGCATACTTGCAACCAAGAAAGGACAAAAGCTTGCCAACATTTATATAAGGTATATCCCACATATTTCTTTATTAAATTATGGAAAGGTAGCCCAAATTACATCCCTAGAATTTTGGTTTCTAATTCTTTATAATTATTAATTGATCTGGTTGCTAACTGACATAGACAAAGGAGCTATATGGATAAAACCAACATGGGAGACAACTGTTCATTATTCTTTCCTATGGCCATGTCTCGTTCTTCTCTGACACTTTGTTTATGTTTTATCTAAGGATAGGTAACGCATAAAAATAATATTGTTGATGTCGACATGTATTGATTAGGTGAATAATTATTAAAAAACATTCATTTTTAAGTATTTAGTCGTTCATCAAGCTGCATTGAGTTTTCAGAGTTGGAAAATTGATGCCAATGATTTTCTATTTTATCTCAACATAAATATTAAATAAATGGCACCGAGAAACGTTGATTGAGTTAAATGCATGAGGTGTTGTAATATATTATATTGTTACCAAATTTGGTTCACACAAATAAAAAGAATATGTGAAATAATTAGTTTAAACTCTTTAACGAGCAGGTGAATATCGATCTTGTTTGTGCCACAGTACGCAGTTCTTGAATTGAAGATTAAACATGACTCAATAACGAATAATTCTTGTATGAGAGTTATATTTACAAACATAATTAAAAACTCAAGATATATACTGAAATAATAATAAAGTCTGTATCGAAGTTATTTTATTGTTTCTTTTTTAATTTTTGATTTCTTATACATATGAATATTGTACTCACCAAGAATTTTTCATTATGAAACTATATGGGACATTTGATAAGTAAAATATCATAATATCATTTCTTTAAAAATATATATATATTTTTTCCCTCCTTTCATTTATCTTTCTTCTTGTGTCTCTCTCTCACTCCTCCCCTCTTTTCCTCTCTTTTCTTTTATTTATTTTTTTGTCCTCTATATCTCTGGCTCTCACTCTTCCTCCCTCGTTTGCACTCTCCTCTCATATTTCTATTTCTTTTTATTACATTTCATTATTTTTTGAGTTTATTAATTTTAATAATATTATTAAAAAAAATTATATTTTAACGATATTTTATAACACTTTTTTATTTAAACAAAATAAAATATTATATTTTTATTCTTCTTAATTATAATATATAACATTTTTTATTACATTTTTTTTGTTTACAGGCACTTTTATTTATAAAACTTTATTTTCAAATACTTTATTTTTAAATATTTAACACGGTTACTTAACAATTTGTACTAATTAATCTAGTTGTAACATTTGGTGGTAATCAAACACTTTCTTTAATCTGCAAGTTAATTTGTGTTTGATTATAATTTTGATCTGAATTAAAAACCTGCATAAGGAAAGTTTTCTTAGTTTTTTTTTCTATATTACAAAAGAACAAAACTCTGTTAATTACTTTTATCAATGTTATTACTTAGTACAAACATCTTTTATGAAAAGTTCTTAAGAAAAAAAAATTATAGAACATTTTTTTTTATATAAAAAGTACCTTGTAATTAAGTAGGCGGGGGAGTTTTTCTTTTTTTAATAGTTTTATACGGATCTAATTTACGCAGTTTCCTTTTTAATCCAAAGCAGCTAAAAATATCATATATTTTTTAATTTTCAATTTGAAAAAATAATACTAAACAACTTTTGATTTAAAATGGATGTTAAAACTAAAAAAGAAATTACTAAATAAATACTATTTTATTTTTAAATCCAAATATAACCCAATTTTTTTATTTAAGGTACGTTTAATAAATGATTGAATGTCCATATCTAAAATGAATTAATAATTATTTTGTATTGTTTTTTTTATATATAATTTTACCCTTAGTATGGATCAATGAAGAAGAAGTAAATAAGAATGTCACTTTAATTGGAATTAGACATAATTTCCTTTAAATATTATGATGAAAAATAGTTATTAGGATGAAAGTTATTTTTTTAATAGAAATTATTGGCATGCAAAACATTATTATAAAAACAAGACATTCTGACAATGTTAGTACCTCAAGGTCTATCAATCATATGTAACACACCAAAAAAATATATTAAAAGAAGAAAAGATGAACAAAAAACATGGGGGGGACATAGACCAAAACCCATGTATAGATCAACAAAACCTAAACAATGGCAAACTACTTTGATTACGAAAAAAAAAGGCTTCCTACTAAAAGAGAACATAACATCCCACCATAAAAATAAATAAATAAACATCTAGAAACAAGACCAAAAATAGTTAACTTGTAAACACATTACCTGTCTTCCATATAAATGTGAGAAAAGACTAGATGCAGCTATGTATAAAAAACTAAACAATGTTTCCATCTACTATGAAGGTCTCATAAGACCATACTGACATTGGAAAAACTTTCAAAACAAGCTCTAAATCACTTTTCAATCAGCTGAATAAACATATTCAATCACAATCATTAACATACTAAATTTTGTTTGGAGAGTTGTTTTCTCTCCAATGTCAATGATTAATTATGTTTCTCTAACAAGAATTAATTATCAGTAAAATCAATGAATACTTCACACATATAACATAACTAAAAAGAAATAGACAAAACCACTTACAAAACATGTATGAGATTTTTTTCCAAATTTTTTTTATACATTTGATGAGTTAATTTCCAACATTTGGGTTTAGGAATTGATTAGATAAATTCTCTACAAGTGCTTCTAAAAGAAAATTAGTTAAAAAGTTATTTAGAGAAAGTTTTTACAAATTTACATAAATTAATTTGAACTTTTAAATAAATTTATTTTACTTTTTTCTTATTTTATTTTTTCTTCATGAATATATTTTTATATTTTTGTAGAATTTTATTGTTCTTGGATTTGAATTTTAAGTCCAAAACATATAAATTAATATCAAAAAGTACAACTACCCAAATCTTAATATATAATTAAAATCTCATTAAAAAATGAAATAGCTTTATTTTTTTTCAAATTTCCTACATTTTTTTATTTTCCACAAATTAACTTTTTTTTTAAAAGTCAACTAATCACCTTCCATAATTAAATTCCCACTTACGAAATTTACGGTTTAAACTTTAAAGAATAATGACGGCTTCTGGTTTCATAAGATCATGGACATACTACTCGGGGAATTCATGTAAACATTATAATCATCTTTCCGGAGTGCGGCATGCACAATGTTAGGACTTAAGGAGTTTAACTTGAACGTAAAACGGAAAATATTCAATGAACCGTGCGAAACCTTGCTCTCTGACCACGTCAATGATCCAGGCGCATCAGATTCCTGGTCAATAATGTCCAGCTAGCAGCCAGTTTGGCCTTAAAATTATTATATCAGCTAAACAAAGTAGGTTTAAAACTGGTCATGACACAGAGGGCACTAATAAACATTATGAGAAACCTGTGAAATAGCATGTTGCATGGTATTAAAGATTCCCACTATAACAACCAGTTTGTAGTTAGTAGGGGCTTCCATAATTTGCATCAGGTTATAGTTTCAAACTTGTTGCACCAACACTGTAAAAAAAATTTAACATAATTATTGAATTTTCATTTCCCAAAGGAATGACTTAATTCCAATCAGAGCTGTTTTTATCTGGAGGGAAGCTTAAAAAGCTTACCAAGTGTTTCTTCTTTTTTTTTTTCATGAAAATTTTTGGGGACTACACTACTGAGCTAATTGTCCGCTTAGTCCTTATTTCATTCCAGGTGAATGCAAGTCTTCAATTTCCTCAAACGATTTTAGTTAAACGAGTGCATGCCCATATGAAATACCAAAAACCCAAAAAGGATTCCATTCGTTACCGTACATTGTGCTACTAATAGAGAGACATTGTGCTACTTATTTTCTTCTATTATTCTCGGTCACATTCTTGAAAGGAAAAAAAAAAGTGAATATGGACTGATAACTTTGATCTTCATGTGTATTTTATGATTTATGGATACATTTGAAACAATGAAATTATATGCAGTTTACAACGCCAGAAAAATATGATGAACTTGATGACCTCAAGAAGAAGCTACCCAACCTTTTTCACAAATTATAGTGGGCTTCTATTCAGATTGAAGCTACAGCTATATGCCTGGATAACATTCTCCTCCTCTGCTCTTGTATCAGCCAAAGAATTCCCAATGCCATTATCACAAGTAGCATTAATAATTGTCTCACTACTTTCACGTACACATTTGGACTTTGAATTATTGTCTGAACATTCTGTGTTCTTTCTTTTCCTCTTTGAGTTGATAAATCTGTACTCAAGAGCTTCCAATGCTTTTGTGGTCAAGGGTCGGTTCCTTGTGCTCTGGCGACGGTTGCCAAGGATAGATTGCTGCTCCTTACTACCATCAGGAAACTCCTGTGTCGCATTGAACTGGGTTATCTCAGATGGAGAAGACGATGTATTTGCGCATTGGTTGTCATTTTGCAATATGACCATAGAGGATGGTATTTCCATTTCAAGTCCTAAATCGGGTGAAACTTCAGGAAAATTCAAGTCAATCAACATCCTGGTTTCAGAATTTTCTGCTGATACTTCTCCAACCGGATGGTTCTCAGTGACACTGCCTTCATTGCTCACATTTGGACTGCCTTTGGCCAGATAACTTGGGAAAGACAAATTTTCTAAACCCATAGACAAAACCATGCCATCAGATGCTTGATGCAGACTTGATGGTGAGACTGGTTCATTTAAATCAAACTTTCTATCCCCAGAAGTACTTTCAGTGCAGTGGCTAAAATCTCCATGGTTACAAGCTCTTAACTTCTGCACTGCCGTGATGCAGGGAATTGTGCAATCAGATGTCATCTTTTGAAGCAACGGATGCTCATTGATCTCTCTTGAATGCTCATCATTATGCAGATCAGAATGACATCTATGATTTTTTACTTCTTCAGTGGTATTGAGGACCTCAGGAACACGAGTACAATCTAAAGAGTCTATATTCAACACTTTATCATAGAATTCTTCAGTGGGGTTGGAGGAATTAGCTTGTTCAACCTGATTTTCCATAGGATATGAAGAACTAGCTTGCTCAACTTGATCTTCAATAGGGCTTGAAGCATTAGCTTGTTCAACCTGATCTTCAATAGGATATGAAGAATTAACTCGTTCAACTTGATCTTTGATAGGGCTTGAAGCATTAGCATGTTCAACATGATCTTCCGAGTCTTCAGATGTATCTTGCTCAGATTCACTAGAACAGCTTGAGATGGTAGATATACTCATGGGTTGAAAAGGTAAGCTTCTCGTCTGTCTCACCTTACGTTGATTCATATCATGAACCATGCTGGTATCTACAATTGTAAATTTTGTGAGATCTTGATTGCACTTTGAACTATGGGATTGAAGGTGATGAAATTGTTGAGTATTTGACACACCCTCTAGGTCTCGTTTGTCTTGATGTTTTTCCCTATCTACACCGCCCTCAATTGCTTGACTTTCAGTCTCGAGAAGCCCAGGGTCAGATGCTACTTTATTCAATACGTCACTTATAGAATCAAAGTACTGGTTACCTTTTACCAGTTTCCTTCTTGAAAATTTCTTAACACCAGGTATAAGAAAAACCAAAGATTGTTTTGATCCAGAAACAACTTGATCTTTAGGTTGTTCAGAATGCCAACCTTTAGCTAAAAGACGTGGCCAAACAGCTTCCCAGAAGAGATCACTGGATCGAGCTTTACTCAACCTAAAATCTCCTGTGAGAAACTTGATTATATCTGCAGATGTTAGAGAGGAGCAAGCTTTGCCGATTGGTATTTCATGGCGAACAGAGAATACGTGATTGGTCTTTGGTGGCTCAACAGCAGTGCCTGTGAGATCTTGTTTCCCTTTTCCAATACCTACAGCAGCTATGAGCAGATCAATGCCAACTGCATCCTTTAAAGCAAATACGTATTCTTCAAAAGGCATCTTTCCCTCCCCAAATTTCCTTGAAATCTGCAGTAATATTTACAACAATTCAGAAGATATTGTTTTTTCTGATTTGAAAAACGTGTTTATAGAAATAAAGTCAGTTAAGCAGCATATTATGCAATAGCCATGCTAACAATGGATACAGTTAGAAGGAAGCGTCTATACTGTTATAAGAAAAGAAAAGAAATGAGAATTTAAGACACTAAAATGTTTGGTAGGCAATGTCGATTATGCAAATACTAGGACCAAACAAATTATCACCAGGTTTTACTTGAGAGAATGTGAAGGAAGAAACACCAGTGGTAATTCACTTTAGTGAATATTCTCCTGATTGAGAAGCAAATTGACTTGTTCTCAAGTCTCGACTTCAGATGTAAGGGGAAAGTTCCAATTGAAACCATAAATATATTTTGTTTTAGGACCTATTGACACTATTTTTTATTTTTGTTTAGACCACATGTATCCTTCACTGGAGGTAATCTTGCATCTAACTTGTTGCTAAACGGTTAAATTTTTCAAAGGGTAATAAAGAAGGGATCTGGCATTTTTGTTAATTGGGTTCTCCACTCTTCTTTGAAAATAAAGTAGGTAGTCCTAAATGCCTATAACTGAGCATTTATTAGTAAGGGACTTGGTTTAATGGGATGAGTGTGCTGGAGAACTCGGATATTGTTCTAAAATCAACCACATTTTTTCCATGGGAATAGAAACATCATTATTTAAGGTTCTTGTCTTAATAACACACACAATCACCGTGACAACTTCTAACCCTTCCTGGCAAATGTTGCAAACTCAACCTTAATAACAGAATTAAATTATTCAAATGCAGAGAGGCTCAATAGCAAGGAAAATATGTCAAATAAAGGACAATTTAAAACTGTGTTATTTAGTCTCTTCCAAGAACAGGAAAGACCTGGTTATCAGGCAATTATCCAACTACATTACCTAATTTAGCGTCATGATACCCATTTGCTGAGGTCGTGTTTTCCTCTACTTTGTTGTTCCATTAATTACCATGTCTATTCATGTGCAGCTTTCATGACCAATATAACAGCCAATAATTTTTGAAATTTCTATTCTATAGCATTGCTGATTTGATAGTAAGCATCACGATAATTCACATATAAGCATAAATGCTTCATGATTGGATGGTACTTAATTTAAATCAATTTCATTAGTTACAAGTTCACTTATTAGCATTACCACATCCACAACCCACTTCATAAAAAAATATTTCACACGTTAGGCAGAATGTCCAAAACACCTTTCCAGAAGCTAGTAGAAAAAATTCTTAAGACACAATAAACTGTCCCTCAATGATCAGGATAAAACACTCTGCACGTGTGTATGGCTTGGATATAAAACCAAGGATATATCATAACCAGAAGATGGTGAAATCATCCCTTTCAAGTCTTTCTTAGCATGACAAAGAAATTTCAAGCTTGCTGATGTTTAGTATTTAACCTCCAACCAAGATCATCATCTAAGTCAGCAACACTGACAAAAGGATTTATTTTAATCACTACTTATTATCATTATAATGTGAACACAGCTTGCACTGGCAATACAAATAAACTTCTTTGATGTTTAAATCCTAAAAGAACATTACTTAACTAAGTGCATATTTATATGGCAATCTCCTATCATCCAGATTACGAGTGACAGTGACTAGCATACACTGAAATATGTCAGAGAGATACCTCGACCAATGTAGTTTGACACTCCCTTGGCACGTGGGAAAATAATCTTGACAGCAATTCTTGTTGCCTCCATCCTGTGAATATTTTCTGGCCATATATACACCTCTTAGTTCTCAGCTTTCGGCACTCTGACCATCGGCCATATTCTTTAGACTTAAAAAACTTTCCATAATAGAAAAACAATATGTCTCCCATATTTTTACTCCCAACAAATCTCTTCAAAAAATTAAGGTTCTTCCCAAATACATAGAGGCCAAGAAGAAAACTGTTATATTCAGTATCTGTCCAAGATTGATTATACAACAATCCAGGGAGAAGATAGTTGCCTCTTGGCGGATCCTTCTCGTCACTTTTAGATGATTCAAAATTTGTGAACCCTCCATCATTTTTATCTTCACCATGTGTAGCAGTGTGAAGTTCCACTCTAACTTCTGGACATTCATGCCCAGAAATAACTGGTCCCGCTTCACTTGTGACAGATTCTAAAGTCCCACAACCACAACTGCCTTCAAATTTGCAATGACCCCACTTAAGAGGAATGGGCAATCCTAGTGAAATAGACTCTTCCAAGTTGACTTTTATTTCTGAATCTGTTGTCTTTTTTACAAGCTGAGAAAGATAAGGTGCTGTAATCAAAGAAGGAATTTTTGCCTGGTACTCGTCTCCAACACGAGGCACCAGTTCTGGATCTCCAAATCCTTCAGCAGAATTCCCTTCATTGTCTGCTCTGTTGTCATCAAAGCAACGAGAATACATCTGCAAAATATTGGATTATAAGTTGAATAAAGAAACAACATGATACGCTTTCTGTATTGCAAAAACAGAAAATTCTTGCTCCTCGTGGTGAACAACAATGTTAGGAGAGCAGTCTCATCATTGAAATATTAAGCCAAAAAAGTCAAATCATTCACACATTAACTGAGGCACTACCATATGCTAACCCTCCGTACCTTTAAACACAAAATTATAAGTCCCACTAGAAAAAAAAGCAAAAAAACAATAATTTTTGTATCATATCAGAAACTTCATACATATTTATAAATTACAGCAGAATATACGATTCCATCATATTTCGTACAAGTTTATTATTGCGCTGCTAGAATGAAACAAGTACAAAAAAAAGTGATATGCTAATCACTGCGCAGAAAAACACTGAACTACTCAGAAAAACACTGAACTACTCAGAAAATCCAATCACGCACAAGACACAACAGGCACTAGATATATGCACATCGAATTCCAAACCCAGATCAATTCTCTCTGTTATAAGTCCTGATAATTAAACACTAAAAATTAAGAATATGTAAAATCTATAAAAAAATCATATACGAAGTAACTTTGTCGTCCCTTTTAAATAAATAAATAAATAAATAAGGAATAAGGTAAAAAAAAAAAAAAAAAAAAAAACACCTTGAGAATTATATGAAGCAATCAGAGTGGGTTTTTCAGGATAATTGAAAGGTAGACCCACAAAAATATTAAGCGAAAGAACAACAGAAAATCAGTATGGAGAAAGAGAAATGCGAAACATGCAAAGTAATGATTAGGTAATGTAACCTTAATGGAATAGGCTTGAACACGTGCGAAAATCGACCTGGGGAAATGGGTATTGGAATAATCCGCGATTTTCAACGTGTTTCTTGTTTGGGTGGTGGTGGTGCGCTGGTAAGAACTGAAAATAATAATTATAATAACAACATCAACAACTGAGTGAGAGACATGAGAAGGGAATTGGTAGAATAGAATCATATCACTCACATAGCTCTACTTTCATGACACCGTAATCAGAGAAGAGAAAAGAGAGAGAAAGTGAGAGAGGACCAAGAAAACGAGTAATCGAACGAATAAAGAATGGAAATTCTCCGAGGTTAAATCATGGAACCAAGAAAACTTTTATAATTTATAGTCGTTATTCCCACTATTATCAGATCCTACCTTAATATATCATTCAACCGTAATATTACCATAAAATTTTACTAAAATCAGTTCTGGTTGCGGTAAAAGATAGAGTTTAGGAAAAAAATTAATATTTGTTCTAGTTCTAGTATATAAATTATAATAGTCCTGCACACATCATAAAAGTGTGATAATAAATTAAAATTTTAGTTATCTCTATATTTACTTAACACTTTTCTTTTTGTTTTAATCGTTAGAATTTCTTGCTCATGGTTAATCGACATAAAATTAACTTTTTTTTACATATATTACTTGAGGTTCAGCCGATTACAATCTAACATTTATTAAAATCATAAATAAAAACTCTTAAAACTATGTAATAATAGATAATCCATAATTATCACAAGACCCAAAGATTTTTATTATTATATAATGGTAAAAATAAATAGATATAATTATGTTTTTATTCATAATCTCACCCATATCCATAAGGTATGTTCAAAATATAAAAAGATATTATAGGGCATAATTTTTTTATATTTATAATATTTTTATTATGACTTTATTAATAGCATTTAATTTAAATATATTTGTGATATAAAATATTTTATTTTTTACAGCATCTTTAACCATAAAAGTTATATTTAAAATAATTTTTCAGTAGTTGAAAGTATACTTTTTAATATCGTAAATACATGAAAAATAAAATCTGAATAATATATATTATTATACCTATTTTTTTAAAATCATTCATGAAAAGTAAATTATTTGTATTATCATTAAATAGTTTATGAGAATTAATAAGTCATAGACTTAAGTGATACTAAACTCATTATTTTAAGTAAAATCTCGTATCGAGTCTTGTACATAAAATAATTATGGTTAAGAAAGAAAACTCTACTAAAAATAATTTATCAAGTTTCTCAAAAAATATTAGTTATCGACAAGTTTATAAATACTTCATTCTATAAATATGTTTAACCAAAATTAATATATTATTATTATAAAATATTTTTTTTATACTATTATTTAATTATAATTTATTTATATAATAAATTTTTATGATAATTACTTTAAAGTTATAAGTTATAATATTATTTATCATAATGTTTAATTAATTGATAACGTAAAACCTTACTTAAAAAATATATATATAAAGTAAACTATTGCATTATTTAGTTATTTCTTTTTTATTCATGAGTATACTTTTTTATCCATTATAACATCATTTTATGTAGTTAAGGATAGGAATAGGTCATACTTTAAACAAATCTTTATGGTTTTATCTATTTAAAGTCTGATTTAATTTGATCTATTTAATAAAATAATTAGACTTAAACTTTTTTAAAAAATTATTTATTTAAAAAAATTAGATTTATATTAATAAAAAGGTCTGACAGGTTAACATATTTAACTACCATTAATAAAAAATATTGTATATAACATTATTAATAATATAATTAAATAAATAAATTTATAATAAAAAAATCAAATTATCAATATCTTTACATTTTCATTACACTTAAACATTTTATATTCCTTGTTTTTATGAAATTAAGATATCAAAAATATAAATTTTAATAGTCACATCTTTATCTCATTTTTTTTCATTTTCATGATTGATTATTTAAAGTACTCTAAATTTAAATGTGATACAAAAAATATCTAATTTTTTTAATAAGATTATCTTCTTCATTATAGTATGTGTATGACTATACGTTAATGTACATGAATATTCATTGTCTTTCAATTTTTTTCATTTTAAATTTTAAATCTAATGATCATAGAGTAAATTATCTTTTTATCTTGTAAATTAAAGAAGATTGATCATGTAAATTAAACAAAGTTTCACACATATATTTAAAAATATAATTGTTAACTTATTTAAAATTAAATTTATCGACCTATTTAACATTATTAATGTAAAATAAACTTTTATATCAATAAATTACAAAATAGACTTTTAAATAAATTAATTATAAAATAAATTTTTATATATGATAATGAGTCAAGCCAAAATTTTTAAAAGAATAAGTTAGAATTTTTTTTATTTATAAATATGACCTGATATTTTAAATAATAATTCTAACTTGATTTATGATAAATAAAAAATTTAAGTTAAACTTTAATTTTATAGAAAAGATCTTAACAATATATTTAGAATAAGACCTATTCTTATTCCTGTAGGTGATACACACTTTACAAGAAAATTATGTATCATTTTTTGTTATTATATTATTTTAGAGTTCAAAGAAAAAAAATCTTTTGAAAATAAACAAAGTGGAATAGTCAATACTCCTTACTTATTCAAGAATTTGTACCACAAAGAAATCAATCTTATTCATAAGATTTGCATGAAAAATTGTATCGAAATATATAGAAACTTCAAATTTTAATAAGATAAAATTAAATAAAAATATTAATTATATAAATTATATATTTATATATTAAACTAATTCATAATTTAATACACAAGTCAAATTTAATTTATTTATTTATCAAAATTAACTTTTAATTTAATTCATAAACTAAATTAAAATTATTGTTTCTTTTAGAATTACGTAGTTGGAGCTTTTTAAGTTGTAATTAGATGGATGATAGAGAATGAAACAGAATAGATCCAAATAGAATGAATTAAAAAAATCATTACATTATTTTAAAAAAGAAAAGGGTGAAATAAACAGAACTTAAAAAATTTCATTACACTCCAAATAAGATTAGACGGAAAATTGGAATAAGGAATGTAAAGGAATAGATTTATTTCCATCATTTTTTCATTCTTGTTTATATAGAACCAAACAATATAATTTTTATTCCTGTTCATTCCATTCCTTTCATCTCACCTTGTGTCATCAATCCAATCATAGTCTGAATTTTCACATTTATCTCTTAACATTTTTTTCTTTTATATTTACAAGACACATTATTATCTCAAGTCACATTGATTAAAATCACACAAAGACTATAATAAAAAATAATATATAACATAGAAATTAATTCAAAATCATGATAAGACATGTATAATTTTAATAACAAGGAAACAAAAAAAAAAATTGTGTGTAGATTTATTGTTTTAGAAAAATATTTTTAACAAGTTACATTCAAAATATACTTTTAACAAAAAAAAATTCTGCATTCACAAATCCCATATATAATGTATAAATTAATTCAAAACCATGATAAAACATGTATAATTTTAATAAAGAGACAAAAAAATTGGTGTGTAAATTTTTTTTTAAACAAATATTTTAACAAATTACATTCAAAATGTACTTTATATATATAAAAAAAACAAAATATTTTAAAAAATGTCAGCATTCATGAATCCTTTGTAAAAATTATCCTACGAGTAGCAATTTATTTATTTTTTCTAAATGAATATCATAACTTTTTTACCTCTAGTACTTCGATAAAAAATAAATAAATAAATAAAATAAAATAAAATAAAAGTGAATATTACATAAATATTTATGTAGTATTCAAAGAGTAACATAAGTTTGTTGATTTCTATAGAAATTGTAGTCCTGTCATGTATCTAGAGAATAGTTTAAATGCATAAATCTACTTTGATAATATTTGCACTTCTGAGAAATTAGTTTTCAAGTGTCAAGTGAGAAATTCTCTTGCTGCATAAAAAGAATTGCACTAATTCATTCAATTCAGTCTTTCTTGTCATTTTTGTCTTAAAATGAGATATAAAAAAAATGCAGCAGTAATAACAAGAGTCAACTGTTTACTTCAAGGGATTTCTCTTTGCCAATTGTCATTTGCACATCATCCAGAAAACACAGTGGACCATTGAATTTATAATATATGCACCATGCTCGAGCAAAATCTGGTGCATTTATAATCGAAAAGATATTTCACAAAATTGGTCATGACATAATCAAGACCTATCTTACATGATCCAACTGAAGACCAAAACATGTCGTGATTTATCAACTTCAAGCTGTTCTTTGGAGTCTACAAAAAATTGGGTTCTCTACCAATTCTTTGGCAGAAGGCCGCTTAACCGGATCAGGATCCATCATGACCTAAATCACCCAAAAAAAAAATCATAACCAGATCAAACATGCTTAGCAAAATGAAAAAGAAAATACACCAGGCAAAATGCACAGCCCTTAAAAATTTAAACAATTTTATTTAGGACAAGAAAAGTTGGAACGAATATAAATATCAAAAGTTAGAACTAACGGTACATCAATACTAATAATTGTACCAGTAATTCTATAAGTATCTTCTTACACTCATCAAATGAATCCAACTTGAAACAACATCAATTCATATAATGACATATTGACACATGGTGAGAGTGCCATCACCACGTTTTTTTCACCTGTATATATCATCTTTAAGGCCACAATAATTTTTCACCACAGTGCTGAATCAAACACCAATAATTTTCACAAAAATCTTATTGTGCAAATGAACATTTTTCATATTTTAAATGACATAATGGTTGGACACTCAACAATAAAAACTGAACCTTTAGTACTACACACTTAATATTCACCAAAAAGAAAAAAGTACAACACACTTAAATTTTCACTAGATCATAAAAGTGGTAAAACAATTGTATTAGTCTTTTCTTTTCTACGAAAAACTAATGTACAAGTAAATAATGTACCTTGTATATTTTAACAACAGTCCATACAAAACATAAACGAATAATGGAATTACAATTCCTTTATATGTGTCGGTGACAAGTTCTTGACCACAGGATACCACAAACTACACTGGACTTTTTGGTGAAAATTTTGGTATAACTCTTGCAAAACATCCACCATGTTGAAAGATTATAAATTATAAAAACATCAGGAAGGGAGAATTGTTGACATTTTAGGATTCCTTAAACCAGAGCACAAGTTGCACCAGATTTCAGGTAAGAGAACAATGTACGGTACCTTGAGCAAGTTTTGAAGTTGCAACGAATGACCAGGCAGAAGTGTTAACTTGCCCTCTTTAAGATTTAAAAATTGATCTCCTGATTCTGGCAAAAGCGACCCACGAATTAGTTCATAAATAGAAGCTCCTAAGGAGTAGATATCAACCTTGTCAAGGTGATCATAATTCTCATTAAGGATTTCCTGGGGCATATAACGAGCATCGCCCTCCTCAACTGGCAGGCTACTGTCAATAAGAGTTGCACATCCAAAATCACCAAGCTTATAAACACCATTTTTGACATAAATATTGTCAGGTTTGACATCTAGATGAGCTATTCCCTTCTCGTGTATAAATCGCAGTGCTTTGGCAACCTAATCATGTAAAACAACAAAATCAAAATATGAATAAGTACAATGGATCATTAAAATCTTGTGTAGGATTCTACAAGAGTAAACATCTAAGAGAGACAAAGTACAGTTGACTTTCATCATATTAAACTAAAGGCAATGTGTGATATTAGGCTGTCAACTGCTAGATGCCATGTAAATGTAATGAAGCAGAACAGCAACGGTGATGAAGTTCACCTGAAATAAGGCATCTAACACCTGTCCTTCTGTAAATAACTGTGAACATTTTCTTATGGATAAGCTGTGATCACATAGCTCCATCTGAATGTACAGCTGTTCATTTTCAAACCAAGAAGTATAGTAGCCCACAATGTTCTCATGCAAACCTAAAGTGGCAGAAAGATTAATGAAATTAAGAAGAGCAAATTTGATACAAAATAAAGGGTGAAAATGCAAACAAAAACCTAGGGCTGCCAAAGCTTGAACTTCCATCAAAGCTTTTGTCCTGCAATGTCCAAAGATTAAAGAAACTGAATAAGTGACTACTGACTAGACCTATTAAAAAAACATCTATTAAGCTTGAAGATGGTACCTTTCTGTTTCCAGCCGTAACTGTCTAGTGCTGTGTTTCACAGCATACAAGCAGCCATCTATTCGTTTTAATACTTTAAAAACACTACTAAAATTCCCTCTACCAATTTGCTGACAAGGAAAAGAGAAGTTATAAATCAATAATGGAACTAGAGAGGTTGAATTGCAACATGGTAATACCAATTCAAACAATCCATGGAAGTTACAGTCTCCTATCAAAAACATCATACCTGAATTTCATGAAAGTCAGTACGATAGCGTGAAAGCCCATCACCACCAGTAACTGCAGGGAAGAGACCTACAAACATAAATTGCATTATGAAGTTAGAAAATTGAAAAAGTGCGAAGGAAATCCAAAGAGTAATATCTTGCAGGTAACAAAATCACATCCACAAATACAATGACTAAAAAGGACTAGCGAAGGAACCGACTGATACAATACCTGCACATTTTAATCTTTGGTTTTCAAAAGGATCTATCTCCGTTTTTGAAACGTCTTTCAAATAGGGGTTCCTAAAGCAAGGAGGAGGCATAGCCCTGCAACGTAATGTAACTGCAGAATGTGACACATAATTTTGACCCTTCGGCTTAGCAGCTGGAATTATTTTCTCAACAGCCACTTCTTCGGTACCAGAGTCCTTTCCAAGTTCCACAACTGGTTGATGGTCACTAGAAAAGGTAGGGCTGAGAGGGTGTACTGAGATTGCATCTACAAAAAATATGCATATTGATTAGAGAATGTAGATTAACAAATTCGGAGCACAATAAGATGCAACTAGAAAAGGTAGTGCATGATCGGGTAAGCATTTGAAATTTTGATTTTGAGTATAATGGATAATGAGTCTGTTTGAAAACAAGCTTAGAAAAATTTGTCTATTGAAAATTAAATGCTTTTTCCTGTTGAAAAGTTCTCAGAAACTCTCCTAAACTTGTATCCAAGTAGACATCATGCATAATTGATTTTGAAATGGTGTGATTATTGTTAAGATGTTTCCATTGTAATAGTTAGTACAAAATTCCTTATGCTAAATAAAGTTGTTTTCACTGAATCAATTGTTCAACAGGAAACCAAACATGTAAATATTTGCTTAAAAATCACGTTAACTGTTATGTTAACGTGATTCTAGATAAATCAACACTGAATCCAAACACACACTTACCCAGTCGACATCTCTTGCTTTTTGTAGTATTCAGCTTCTCAGGCGATTTGGGGCAAGGAGTATTTTCCTGCAGAACAAAACGCTAATAAGCTATAGTTTTCTTTCCCTCCTTTACTTTATAAAACAATATAGAGAGAGCAAAAACAATCAATTCAAAATACATCACCATATTGCAGTCAAAGGCGTTCAAATTACGCTGATTATCAGGGGTTATGTAATCCGGAGTGCTGGCAAGAGCGACAAAGCACGGAGTGAGGAAAAGAGAAAAAAGGAAGTGGCGAAAATTGAAAGGGATAGGATGTGTGGTACCAAAAGAAGTCCTGGCTGAGAATGAAGTCTCTGTCGGTAGTGTCGTCGGCGTGCGAGGAAGACTGATGCGGAGGTTGGGCATCGAGAAGGTTCTGGAAGGCTGAAGAAGCAGAAGATTGAAGGGGAAAGAGGGACACTTGACCTAGCTTAAGCTGCAAGTGACGCGTGGTGGTGTTGCTCAACGTGCCTTTCATTTTCCTACTCTGCTTCTTTCCAATGCCATTGCTTTTCCCCTTCATCTTCGTCTTCACCATCCACGATCAACTATGAATCTCACTCTTCAGCTTTCGATGATGCGTCTTTAAACAAAACAAGAGGAAACCAAATAAAATAAGAGAATACGGAGGGACAGAGTGATTCAAAATCGCGCGGGTTCTTTTCGATTTCAATTGGATTAGGTGTGGGCAAGTCTACGGTGGACACTTTTGGGAATCAATCCTCGCGGTTGGTTGAACGGTCCGATCAGAGTGCTGGCTTAGAGGGCGCGTATTGTGTTTGTGTTGTGTTGGCGTGCTGCGGAAGCTCATGCCTGATGTCGTTTTTGGTCATTTCCTTTATATGATCAAATATTGATGGAAAAAAGAAAAAAAATCAACATGCGAATATTTTATATTAATTGAAAATTTTAATTTCTTTACTCTAATAATTTTTTAAACATAAAATCATATTATTTCGAGTTTTTGTGTTATTCGATTATTTAGGAAATTAAAAAGTCAAAACGATAAAGATGATTTCTTTCTCAATTCATGTTATTTTATGAGTTTTTTTTATTTAAAATCCTATGAGAATGATTCCTATCCTTTTTACTTTTTTTTCCCGGTATTATATTATGGTTAGGGTTTAGGAGTTAGGGTTTAGGATTTAGGGTTTAAGGTTTAGGGGATGGGAGAAGGTGCACTTACTCTGATTCTTAAATCTCTCTTAAAAATTCAAGCATCACTCATCACACATGCTTTGTCAAAGTGTGATTAGTCAAGGGTGCATGAATTAAAATAAAACACACCAAAAAATTTATATTAATTTATGAGGACGGTCATTAATATGAAAGGTGATAGACATTAAAAAAAATGATAAATCATATAAAGTTATACTTATTGAACTATTTTGACTGATAAAAAGATAGGTAAAATTTGATTTTAAAAGTGTCATGAAATATAATCACTAAGACATCAAATTTAAAAGTTATTATAAAAGGATTTAGGATTTAGCAATAATGTCAAACTGACTCTTTGACATTGTTGATCAAATCATTTCAAAGTTGGGAACTTGATCCGGATTCATTTATATCTTTTATGCATGTTAAATTGAGTAAATATAATTTGTTGCATCTTAGATATTTTACTGTCATGAACTGCAAGGGTTGTTGATCTTCCGATTTCATGGACAGAGGAAGTTAGAGTAGGAAATGACAGTATTTATATTATAAACATATTAATCAATGCCAGGCGTCATTAAGCCAAGAATAATAAATTCGGCTTCAAAGATGCAAGTATCGTCCACCAAAAAGCCACTATTGGGATCTTTAAGTTTAGCCAAGGCCACAAGCTGTCTGGAACCCCACGTACAACTCGAGCTACCAAACTTACGACAAACTACAAAAGGAACCACGTCAAGTTAAAATCATGTCAGTTTATAGTATAAATGCTATTAACACTCTTT